CTTCTCCCTGTCTCTGCTGAGACACCCCCTGTGATGTCTAGGAGAGCACCTATTCTAGAATGCAGAGGTACCTGCTCTCAAGATCCTCAACCTTTTATATTTTTCGGTTTTGGGTACCTTTTCCCTGTCCTCTTTGATGAAGATCACCATTGCTGGGTGTCGTTCATGCTCAGTGCAGAAGGCATTTTGGTGGGTCTGTTTGTTTAGGCTGGCCCAGGACGGGTCAATGCTGCTGAGAAGACTCTGTCCTGTGAGTCCTGCAGGCTGAAATCCATCAGCGAGGGCTCATGAGAAAGCTGCTACAATGCTCTTCTCATGGGAATTAATGGTCCAACTTCAGTTCACCTAAAAAAAAATGATGCTGTATCCCTCCCACATACACCCCGCGTCCGAACTCAAGATCTGAAATGATGCGTTTCATTTCCCCATGACTTTCTCGAGGATTTCAAGCCCAGCCACATGACAGGCTGACCAAGGTGTTGAGTGATCATAAAGCTGCCCGTGATACTTAAGAGCAGAAGCTGGAGGTGCCCACTTCTCCAAATTTACACATACCAGAGCTGATGATAAATGCCAAGGGGAGAGGGAGAGCAGTGGTACGGCTCGAGAAGCCCACCGTGGCAAAGTTGCCGTTGTGTGTCATTAGAGCCGTGCGTGCACGGGGATTGTTGGTACCAGCAACCGCAGCCGCAGCTGTGTTCCGTGGAGCTCAGCTCAGCACAGGACTCAGGCTGGTGGGCTCAGGGGAACACAGGTTTTCTGGAGGGGTTTGAGTGTCCCCAGGAACTTCGAAGAGCAGAACAGCGTGCAGTGCTGCTGAAGAAACCAGTGACTGGGCAAGCAGGACAAACTGGCCCATGGGACTTAACAGACAGAAATGAGGCCAAGGAGAAACCTTGGTCAGAGAAGTCAGGAAATCTTTCTGATGTGGTCAGCTGGAGGAAGAGAAATTTAACAAGGACATGGGGGCTGTGGAAGAAGAAGGGCTGTGGAAAGCCCTGTTCTGCTGCTGGCTTGAGTGACAGGAGTTTGTACCTGCTGCAGGGCATTTTTATAACAGAAAGGAAAACGCACGGAACTAACATTTTTTCCCTTCTTTGGACGGTAGGAATGTTTTAATTGAGAAATTTGTTTTAATTACATTAGGTGATATCACAGTCTATTTTACAAGTTCAGGGTAAGAGGATGTGTGAACCAGTTACACAGAAATCCAGTGAAAGGATAAAAACCTACAACATGAGAAAAATGAAAAGTTTAACTTAATCCCCCCAAAATGAAACGCATTGAGAGTTTAGTGTGAGTGGAAACAGGAGATTACACCAGGATCCAGAGAAGTACAAAGGATGAGACTAACATACTTTACAGTATTGGTTCTGCATGACCATTGTTTGCCCGTGTTCAGAGACAACCTCTATTCCCCAGTGCATCGCTGAGCAGATGGTCCTGTCTCTGAGGGTTTGGTCTGGTCTTGTCAGAGGAGAAAGCGAAATAACTGATAGGCAAAGGTCACAACCCATGTTGAGCTGGTCCCCAGGGTCACCGCCTACAGGAGTGTCTTCCACTGGATAGTCGGGGGGTTCTGCACCAAGAACTGTACGGAGGAAAACTAAAACAGCTCCAAAAAGCCCCATCTCAAACGTAGAAAAGTCTCACTTTGGAAGTGCTTACGAGAAGGTCGTCATCATAGAATTTGGTTTCTATAATAACATTGCCACTGTGGAAGGAAAAGAGGAGACAGAAGAGGTATTACAAGAGTGCACGAACAGCAGAAAACGGCTGCTTCTCCCAGTGCTCTCACGAGCCTGGGCTGACATCTTACCCCCCACATCTTACCCCATCTTTGGTTTGGTGCTGCATGCAATAAGCACTGTGTCCTGCTCTGGGGGCCATCAGGGCTGAAGGATCTCTCCACCGCGTTCCTACACGGAGCAGTTCCCCCTATCCCTCCCTTGTCCCCCCTTTCTGGGCACAGTACCACGCAGGCTGCAGAGAGTGCTAACAAACAGCAAACTTCTGCTTACTTCTATTGCTAAAAATAAACCAGCAGTCCCAGCACCTTCAGGCCCCTTTTTCTTGCAGTGAATTGTGAAAACGGATGAGAATTCTTTTTTCATTCCCCATCTCTGTCCTCTAGTGCTGAGCAAGCTACTTCAACCATTCAACCACCTTAACATGTCGCTTCCCTCAAGAAGTGCTTAAATGCAAATGCACAAGCATATTTTATACGGACTGCAACAGAAACGTAGATTTGGGTGTGACAGAAGTTCTGATGATTTAAGTTGCTGACTTTGAGACTTTGGTAGACAAAAGTAGATCTTTGGGGCCATTACAACACTTGGACACCTGAGCAGTGTGATCTGACCATGTCTAAATAACTTGGCTCTTGAAAGTCAAAGGAGCAGTTCCGTCTCCGCTGTGGCTCTTGTCCTCTGTAACACTGGCAAAGCGGAACCCGGCAAGAGTGTCAGGTTTTCACTGTGGTGTGGCCAATGCTTGAACTCAAATGTCAGGGAATGTTCTCAGTCTAATATTCAGTCATCCTGGAATCCTTTGCACAGAGTGCCTGGGTTAGCACCAAATACCACATCTCCATTCTTTCCTGCTATGGAAGCACCGAGACAAACATGAGGTCTTTGGGAATATCAGAAAGTGAGGGGCTCTCCAAGCCTTGACAGCTGAAAAATGCTGATTTCTTTGGGCCACACCACAAAAATCTTCTGGATTTCTTAGGGCTGGTGATTCTACTGAAAAGCCTCAAGAATGACTTTAGGACACCTCCATGAATTGGAGAAGGATCTGGGCTGCCCATGACAAGTGGACAGACTCCAGGGAAAGAATGAGACACTGGAAAAAATCCTCAAGGTCACTTGGGAACTGGACTCTCAAAACTCTCAGTCATGCAAATGCCTTGATTTCCTGAAATTGTAAAAACCAACTTGTAAGATGTCTTTGTTTCTTTACTCTGATTCCCAAATCTAGCTCATCCTGTACTGACTGAAAGCCACCAGCTCTGGGAGCTGAGGACATACACGGCACCTGCAAGGTTCTGAGCAGACTGTGCCAGGGAGGACTATTCGAACACCGATGCTCTCTTCTGAGCCCACTCTCGCTTTGAAACGTGCTGTGAGAAGAAATCAGTGACAGCAGTTCCCATCCCAGTGTCTTCTCTATGTGATTGGCTTTCCTCCAGACAGGGAATGAGAGGGAAAAAACGCTGGAGAGGGAGGTCTTCCAGAGGACACAGTGACCTTGTGGTGAGACTGGCTGTTCCCTGTCTGCCTCTTGTTGGCAGGAGGATTCCCATACCCTTCTGTCTCTGCTGGCAATGTGCTCCTCATGAGCTTGCCAGCACCCATCTAGCACTGCAGGGAGGGGGGCTTTTTGGAGGGGGGATTTTTGTCAGTGATTACAGCCTCCCAGGGCTCTCCCTCAAGGAGCCTTTTCCGTCATTCCACCAAAACTCGTGCCTTGCTGTCCACACTCAGAGCAATGCCCAGGATGCTTTATTCTGACACAAGCCCTAGAGATCGCTGACCTGCTCAGAAGTCAACGTGCAAACACTGGCCAGGACCAGACGTTTCCGAGGAAGGTGCATGAATCCTGTTATGGGTGACTCTAAAATGACAGTTTTCTACCTGTTAGGTGTATTTTATCCTCAGATGCTACTCCATATGACTAAATGCATAGTTTATAATCCAATGTAAAAGACACAAAACTTGGCAAAATGGTCCAGTGATGAAACAAATGCTAGAGCAGCTCCCATGGGTGATACACTGCATGAAAAACAACCACCTTAAACAACAGCTGGATTTGAAAATGGCCCAAACTTTCCCCCCCACCCGGGATGTAAGGGGTATTAAGCTGCAAAGCATTTTAAAATCCTTTCATTGGTCACCTTTCAAAAAAATTAAGCAACTCTAATAAAGGAACAGTTCCACTTTCTCCAAATTTTTATTGCTGTATTAATGCAAATTGGACTACGGGAAAGAAGGTAATGAGGTTGGCTTAGCCCTTTTTATCTCTCAACAGCTAACAGTAGTGAAGGGTGATTCAGAGCTGGTAGCAGCTCCCTCTCTTCATTCCCACTGTGGCCCCCAAGGAAATGCCACAAACTGCTTTTTGTTTGCCTGCTCTCAGATTCTGTAAGCCCAAGGCACTCACGTTAAAACGTTAGCTGGCATCATCTGTGATTCAGGTGCTGCCTCTATCAAGGACTGCCAAGTGTTTGTGGAGTTAGGAATCACAAAACCGAATTCAAAGAACCATTCTGCAAAGTAAAAAGAAGATCCAGAGGCATTTGAAAGAAGATAAAATCCACAAATGGTCCTTTTGCTTTTCACCTGACACGCTGGGGAACTCCCTAAACTGTCCTGCTGTGCTGCCAACATTTTACATTTAAATTACTTTGTACAGCTTAAACTGCGCTGAACCCTGCCCTCCTCTTAAAGCAGATACTCCCTTTCTAAAATAGCTGATGGTAACGATAAAGCCACACCACTTCCTCAGCATTCAGTGGAAATTTCATCACACCTAATTGGGAACAGGGAAACCACACTCCCCCTCTTGCAGACATCCCCCGGATCCAGTTGAGACTAAGCGTACAACTGGTTACCCAAAAGACAAAGTGCTCAATGTTTTATCTCACCCTCCTCCACCCCAGATTAAGAGTAATGCTGCAGCGAGGGAGATCAGATGTGCAGCTCTGGAGTGACACAGACAATACTTGGTGGCCCTGCTGTAACCAAAGGAAACCAGAGGTTCCTTCAGCCTGGCCTCCAGTCTGGAGGTGGCCAGCACTAGGTGCTCCTGAGGAAGACGCATGAATCCCCGAAATGGGTGACTATGATAACCTGTTTTCTTGCCTCAGGCAGCCTGCGGTGGATTTATGCCCTGAAGCACGATTACCCAGACTGTTTGCTTATGTAACGAAGTGTTAATACACTTATGAAATGCTATCCCTAATACTGTGGCCCATTAGTCCTGACAAGATGAGTGCTTCGGTGCTACTCTGAAAAATTAAAATCACCACGTTCAACCCATTTTAGTTTCTCTAATCCCCGCGGCGCTGAGGTCACTCCCTGCGCTGCAGCCGGACTGCACACAGAGCAGACGCATACCTTCTAGACACTGCCCTTTGAAATAAACTTTCTGTTCCAGTCGGAATTTTTCCATTTGTTCTGCTGAAGAAAAGTTTAACTCCCGAGACACTGCTTTGCATTTCAGGATTTTTTTAGGAACTCGAGCTGTGAAACAGATAAAGAAGAATTATTTGGACACAATAGAACAAACCCAGCTGATTCAGGTGCTATTATAATATACTTTGAAATAATGATTAGTGCTAGTACCAGATCATAGTAGCAGGACAAATGCAAACACAAAGGACTTTGTTTTTACATTTCCAGGAGTGAAATACAAAATGCAAATGTATTAAGTACCTTGCCCAGAGCCAGGAATGTAACTTGTGACGGAACCAGGGATACAACACTGATCTCTGAGACTTCTGGTTCTTAACTATTTATTACTGAAAGACACAACTTTTCATGTAAAAAAATAAGATGCAACTGAATTTTTGACTTTAGGAAGCATACTGAAGATCACAAGCAGCCGAAGGGCTGCTTAGTACACCAAGCGTGTTAGCCCTTCTCACTTCTCCTTCCCTTTCAGAGTGTGCATCCCCAGCAAACCACAAACGGCTCGTTCCCAGCCCAGCAGCACTGTTCCAGCCATCTCACATAGCTCTGAAGCTGTCCTGTAAAAGTGTACAAGATGTCTGTTCCCCAAACGCTGAGACCCACAGAGGCAGGAAAGTCAGTACCAGACTACATACAGAGTTTAAGAGAGAGAGAGTAATTTGGCAATCCAGAGTATGTGGGCTCTTGTAATGGGTAAGACTCCAACAGCAAGTGGCAAACTGCACCTAGTAGATATTTTGTAAGGCTTTTTTTAGAGGTGGAGGAGTAAGAGAAGGGACAGTTTGGGAGCACTGATTAATATGCTGAAAGGTCCTAATCAGGAGAATACGAGGGGGAGTCAATATACTAAAAATCTCCCAAGCCGGTCATACTTCAGTGGTGTGATTGTACATAATCCTTCCTGCGTATTAGAAAATGTTTCATGTAAATTTATTAGAATAAAGAGGGGAGGGAATACAGCTGGCATGTGCTTTATGAGCCAAACTGTTCCTAAATGGAAAGTGTATCAAAACATCCATGAGCAGACAGCAGGCTGCTGTTTAATAAAAGGAAGAGTCCACCAAACCCCAGGCAAATCCATCTAATGCGGAACAGTTTAATGGGGTAGGACCTTGATAGGAAACCAATTTTGAGAACTGGAGGACTAGGGAATGTAAGCTACCATCCTATCCCATGGAGAAGTACACAGCCCATGGTTTGTTGGAAAAAAAAAAAGAAAAGGTAAAAATGAAAGTTAAAAGTGTATAGTTTTAAATGTAAAAGTTCTCTAATTATTTTTAGTCATTTTTCAGCACAGAAATCTGCGTGGCACCATCCTTTACTGCCCTCACAAGTACAGACTACAGCCTGTTATGAATAAACATCCCTCTGCAGTTAAGTATAAAATGACTTCTGCAATTTTGTAATTACGTTTCTTTCATCCCCAAGACAGACTGCTGAGAATGTTTGCTTTAACATTGTAAAACTACAAAATAAAAGGTTACTTTTAATAAAAGTAGGACTATGTAGTCTTTAAACCCTTGATCTAAGAGATTTTAAATATGTGTATCATCAAGCAGAAAATTTTAATTGAAATTATTAATTTTAAACTCATTTTGCTTTTATACCTCTTTTTTTTCCATTAAAAAGACAGAAGAGAAAGAAGTTTGATTCTCGTCAGTTAGGACCATTTTAAAACATGCTGAAATGCAGCTAAGCAGACTTTATCCTAAATTCAGTACTGCTTTTTGTTAGCCTGAGGATATACTATACCTGTACATTCATTTAAGCATGTACACAGCTAACATACATTTAGTCAGATACTTAATTCTGATTAGATTAGAAAGTGACAAATGACGTATTTCTTATTTACTAAGCAAGTCATTTTGGGTCCAACTGCATTTAGTTAGAAACTGAAATTCAATTAAATAACCTGTATCATTATTATGTTTTCATATAGTTTAATAAAACTTCCTTAAATATTTGGGATGTGTAGGAAAGAAAGCTATCTTAGCCAAACTTCTCTTGTATTTCAAACGACATCTTTTCTTAGATAATGAAAGGATTATTTGTATTTCCTGAATGAAAGCCAGCTGTGGTGACTGGGAACAACACTGGGGATTCCACAAGTGCTAGACCTCAGCAGCTTACTCCAAGAGTGGAAGAAACCAAACTTTACAGATTTGCATGTCTCAGATTTTCTCCCAGTTTTGAAGGCTCTGTCAGTGAATTGAGCTGACTGGGTATATGGAAAAGCTCCTGCTCTCAAAAGCTGGTTTAGATGGTCAGCTCCAGTGCTCAGGCAGTGATTTTCAGTACCTTCAGCGGTTTAACTTTAAGACTTCAGCAGCAATCCAATACCACATTAATATTCTTTTTATTTAATCTAAGTGGTAATGGTAAGTTTAGGTAGTAATACAGTATCGTGATTTGAAACTTAAAGAGTTCATTTTTTAAAGAAACTGTACTTAAATAGAAGGCCTGTTTAAAAAGCAAATAGAAGTCTTGTTTAAAGGAAATACATTTTATTCGCTCTGCTATATATTTGAGTCTTTGTTTGCTACGTCTAGACTGTGATTTGCCCTGAATGGCCACAGAACACATGCACACAAGTACTATGTAATGACTCTGAGAGACACATGGGCTTCATTTTAAAATAATTATTCTGACTGTTTGCCCTCACTGTTTCTGTTGCAGGACTGCACCAGAACCTCCTTTTAATTCATGGTCAGGTTATCCTCCTGTGTTGGACACCTCTCCCCTTTCTTAGCCTATTTATTGAGAATAATCTATCCATCTCAGCCTTCTTTTCTTGCTAAGCCATACTAAAATGGCTTTTTTCCTCCCTTTTCCTAAGGAAGACCATCCTCCCATCTGTAATCTTTTCAGTCACTTCTCCTAATAGCTCTTCTCTGCACCTGTTCCAGTTTGCGGCCATACATCTAGAAGATGGATGACCGAACTGCACACCGGATAAGGTCTTAACAATTCCTTGTACAATGGACATTAATCTCGTGCCAGAGTTATGTTTTAATTAATTCCCCAAGCTCCTCTGATGCAGGTGAGGGTTCCTGTTTTGTATGTGAGGAAACTCTGAGTCACCGTGAGGTGATATGATGTGCCAAAGCGAGAAAGATGGCAGGAGGGAAACGGGGCAATGCAACAAACCCTCCTGAGACACAGCTCCAGCTGTCCTCTCTGCCCCAGAGCACACACCTTCCTGCAGTTGGCACTGAACCATAGCAGTGCAACAGTCTGTTGAGACAGAGTGAAGGGGGTTCAAAGTCTAGCCATGCGTCCAAGGAGAAACTTTTACAGCACAAAATCTGGGAAGATTTGGAGTATTTTTAGCTGATTTTCTTCTGCTTTCTAAGGCCTGATTCCTCATTTCTCCTAGGTCTCCTGTTACACAGTTATTTCAAGAAGGCAACACATCAATAACTCACAGTTTAAGAGATTTAGTTTTAAACTGACAAATTACCACATTTATTTTGAAAGTTTTACCTCAACTGCTTTCCTACAGTTGTAGATGAAGGTGCCGGAATGTCTTCCTTCAATATAGCTATCTTGTACGATAGGCAGGAATAAATATCTGCTAAGGCCTATTGGCAGGGCTGTTAGCTGTTAGCACTGCTATGAGAATGGGTGTACAGGTTAGCAAGGCTGAAGGAGACAAAGCTTGGAAAATGCTCGTAGCAATCACTGGGTCACAGCTTTGCTTTCCTCTAGCTCTGACCTGCACCCTCGATTCCTGGTATCACGCCCCTCTTAAGCTGAGACAACCTACTACTCGTCCTATTAATGAACTCTTACCACAAAGCAGATGAATGTTGACTGGGGATCAAATAACGAGAAGGCAACTTGTTTCTCTTGCACCTTAAGCTGGCTTTGAAAACAGGTATATTTCTGGAAGACTACTGGACTCACAGTGTTTTGCCACACATTTTCTGTTCGCTTTCTGGGCAGAGGAGGATCTTTATACACTGGCTGCCTCCCTCAGAGACAATAGATTTTCCAATTTGTGGGAGAGGTTGAGTCCTAGCAGTGACAGGCAGAACTCAGTCCTTGATGTTTAACCAAAAATACATCAATGTCACCAGCATAATTAAATGATCATGTTCACTCCACTTATTGGAGATCAACTGCAGTACTCACGTAATAGAAAAGCCTTCAAAATTAATTCAGTGAGGTCAGATTCTTCACACAGCCAAAGCCAAGCTCTTGGCAAGGGACATTACCTGTCACGGTACTTTGTCACAGAGAAGAGTAAGGGGCAGCAAAGTCCTCTGCTACTCAGCAAGGATGGACATGGAAGGGCAACAGGCCTTCCTAGCAATGGTAGAGGGGCAGGAGAGCAGAGCAAACGTGCCATGTATGCCATTTTAAAGCAGAGGTCAAGTTTAGTGCAAGAGAACATTAGGACAGTTGTAGGCAGGCAAGGTATGTGTATGCTTCTTCACTGGTTCTCCATTTGACCTCTACCTTGACTAAACCCTGCTGTTATACTGAGAAAAGTCAATATATTTCCATCCTTTCCATTTTGGAAACAGCACTCAACCTAGCAAAGGCTGGTCACTCATTCCTTACCCAGCTGAGCTCCCTGCTTAGCATTGTTTAACTTGTCCCCTTTGCCAGCCACTGATCCACTCCCACCCTTCTCCACGTGTCCCCAGGTTTTTGTGGTGGAAGCCTTTGAAGGTGTGAAGTCACAGCCAGGACATCTGTCCTTCAAAGCAGGGGTATGCTTGCAACTCTGGTGACCTAGACATGCACCACCACCCAGCCCCAAAATGCACAATAAGGCCACACAGTACCTTCATGCTCCACTCCAGGTACAGACAGATCTTCTGTTCCTTGCCAGAGGATTTTCCCTGTTTCTGCATCCCGAAGGTTCATCCAGTTTCTGATTGGGAAGCAATTCAGGAAAATAAGCTATCTTCATCCCTAAATGCTGCTCCTAGTACTCTTTGCTAAGCTCTGAAATGGGCTACTCCAGCTGAGTTTCAGTCATGTTTTCTGATTCTCAGGAGGCCAAGGAAAAGAGGCACTTTTTCCCAGAAAATAAATGAACAAACCAACCCTTGACCAGAATGAATGCAACAAGAGCTATATAGTCACAGATTTAGTTTTCACTTTAGTCTGAAGCTTGTTAACCTCATTTATCATTTTCCATGGCTTCTAAAGGATTAAGGCCATGTCACTGTGCTGCAGGGAAGCAAGAACGTTGCTAACAATAACAGATAATTCTACACAAACAATTGCTGTTCTTCAGCATTTGAAAAATGCTAGAAAAACAAGTGCTTCCTATGTAACAGTAGAAAAAGAATAACATCCAATTGAGTTTGTTTGCTGGTTTACAAAATATTAACATCAAGGGTTGTTCTATTGCTGTTGACCTGATAACTGCCACTTATGGGAATTCTTCAGCTGCTGAGTGCCAAGCAAGGAGAGATCCTCTTTTCACTCTCAGCCAGTGCGGCTGTGCCAGCTTTCAAAAAGCCCGGATCAGTGAATTAGTCATTAAAGTTCTAGCATGAAATACTCATCTTTTCAAAGGGACAATTAATAATGATCTTAAGCACACCTTTGAAAAATCCATCCCATAACATAACTCAGACATCGACACACCAGAACAAGGAGCCTGCACACCTGCCCGATGCCATTCGGAACGGGGATACAGCTGTCCGCAAGCCCTAGGCCCCGCCGCAGCCTCCTGCTCCACAGCTCGTCAGGGTGGCTCCCAGGAGGCACTGGTGTAAACAAGGAGGCACTGGTGTAAACGCAAGCAGCCTGAATAGAGCAGGATCTGTGAGACAAGGCCACACAAACCAGTCTTTCCAGGTGTCTCCTTTTGCTGGTTTATGGCAGTGCACCCTTTGTCCTCAGTACTTCTAGACAAGAGACTGGAAACTATCTGGGAGAAGGGGGGAGATCAACTGCTCAAGGAACTGACTGGGGAGGTACAGAAACTGAAGAGGGACAATATGGACCTTGACATAGATATAAATAGGAGCTGTCAGAGATATGCATATCAAACTCATCCTCTAACATACACAGTTTCCAGGCAGACTCACACAAACTTGTCACATTGATCAAATTTTTCAAGAGCTCCAGGGAAGAAACAGATGCTTTAGCAAATTTTGCATTGCAGGATAACATTTGTTTTAAAATTACGTGTGTGGAGGAGGGAAGGGAAGATGGCTGTTGCAGCGCAGATGTGAGAAGCCTTTCCCTTCCTGAAGGTTGGACAGACTTTCCATGTCCCACTGAAAGGGCAAGAGGGAGGAGAAAGATGGGAATGTGTGCACAGGGTCTGTTTACACAGGCATGGCCTTACAGCTTTCAAAACTTACCACCAACTTGGGAGCATGGGAAGACAGAGAGTAAGGCAGCCTGCTCATCCTTCTAGACTTGTTCTAAACCACATAACATCTACCACTTATTCTGAGATTAAGTGGAAGGGGAGAAGATGGAAAGCATCATCCTTGGAGGGCCCCATATGCCACCTCCACATCCTGGCAGAGAGCTGGTAGGTGGAGATCTCTCCCCAGCTAGCAAACCAAGGGAGACGGGGGCTGCAGGCAGGCAAGTCAGAGAGAGAAAACGAGAAGCATCATGGCAAGAAGAACCTGCAGCGGGGCTGGGCGCTTCATGTGGTGCTGGCTGGAAAACTCAAAGTCCCCAGCCAACACAACCTGCAGGATGGAACTGCCCCAACTGTAATTTAAAATGTCCAAAAAAAATCCACCATTTTTTGATGCATCTTCCCACAGAAAAACATATAAACTAGCCAGGGTGAAGCTATTTGCATAGAAAGCAGTGTGCAATCTATCAAATGCCATGTACGAGAGAAAAATAACAAATGAGACAATCTGAGCATCTCACTGACAAATTCATTTATCTGCACAACACCCTGCGATGCAAACGCTCTTGACTATTAGCTGTACAGTAATTCAGTAAATTGGGTACTTGATTATCAAAAACCTGTAGTACCTTTAAAAAATGATCCCTTCAGAAGTATTTACTTGCTCTTTGTTCACTACCAATATCAGTGGAAGTTATGAGCTCACGGATCTGGCCATAGGCTGTGTAGTGCCAAACTGAGCAGTAGACAAGTTCCTCTGAACTGGAGATGAAACACTAACCAGAACAGCAAACCCAGCACTGCACAGGAACTGATCCAGCCTCCCAAGTCCTCTAAGTAATGGACTATCTTCCTTTTTCCTTGCAATGCCTTGCCTTGCCTTACCTTCCCATCCCTCTTCCTTTATCAATTTTTGGAGTACTCTGAAATCACATTTGCCATTTTCAAAAGTGTTATATTAGAACTGAAGTTCAAAGAGTGTGTTTAGCCTCATAGTTTAATTATTATCCTTACTAGAAATACATAGTTATAGAGTGATAGTGACCTACTATTTCTGGACAAAACACTACTGGGGACTACTGACCTCTGTTGCTTCTCCCTATAAAGATTTATCTATCAATACAGTCCAAGAGAGATGATACGAGGTACACTGCTGGGCTGAACAATGCGAGGTATGTTAACATTTCGGGTGTTAGACTTCTATAAAGTGCTATCAGACTTTATTCTGTATTGATGTTCCAATGTAAGAGTAAATCCATGCAGGACAGCCTGTGCCATGCTTTGCATTCTGACTGTCAAACTGAAGAATAAATAAAAAGCTCAAGACTGGATCCCTGCTGATGAGAGTGTGCAGGTCAGCAATGCATGCCACAGTTCCTAGAAAATGTCTTGTATTTAAACAATCTGGACATTGCTCACCCATGTAAATTCCATATCAAAGGAATAAAGGTTTAGTGTCAGTGTAGCTAAAGGCTTTCTGGCCTAGACAGACGCGTGTGCAGTTTCAGGACATGCTTTTCCAACTTCTGCAAATAAAAAAATGGAATCAACCTGCTATTCAGAGTGTATACACGGAGATAAAATATGTGGATCCAGACATGTTTTAAGGGATCAGAATACTCTAGCCAGTTTGTAAGTTTTTTCATGGGAACTAAGCTTTATTAAAAGGGATGAACAAACCATCAAATCTTAGAAGTGCACACGCACAATCCTCTCTTATTGGAAAAAAACCACTTCATGTTCAAGATATTCATTCTTTAAAAAAAAATAAATGTCTAAAAAGAATCAGGCATCTGAAATAGAATTCATAAGTCAAAATGGAGATCATTTATAAAACTTAACTGTAATGGAATTAAAAAAAAAAGGCAAAACCCATCACAAGTGATTTTTTGGCAAGGGAATACCTGACAAAGCAGCAGCTGCACTGCTTACCTAGTTAGCAGCTTATCACACTATTTCTGTCATCTTGGATAGAAAGGCTGGTATTAGGACGTACCCCAGAGTGAAGAAAATGGAGATCTTGAACCAAACCCACACACTGTTATCTTCTAATGTGTTTAATTGGTTTAAGATTCTTCCAACCCAGCATGAGAGATATTGTTACTAAAAATAAAAAGTGCTCCATCTCCCGAGCACCAGTGGAGACCTGCAGGCAGGATGAAGAGGGCATTTTAAGTATTATTGAAAAGGAGAAAGTAAATTAATATAGGTTTAACACAATTACTCTTTTTGAAGAGGCTCATGTCAAGCCACCTGGCAGGGGTAGCTAAGGAGAGCAAGTAGAGAGCCAGGCATTTACAGCTTTGTGAAGTTAATATATATGAAAAAAAAAAACCCAATAGTATATTCCTAATTCAGCTTCTCATTCTAAAATCACAAGAACACTCTTAAACCATTAAATTTTCATTCTCCTGGATTTTGTTGTGTGTTTTTTTTTGTAGGAAACAATGTCTGATTTAAGACTCCATAGATCAAATACTCTTCAATCCTGAAGGCAAGGAAGGATTAGGTAGAAGAGCTGAAGGAAGGGTGTACTGTTGATCTATTTATATTCCACCACCTATTGGGTCAGCAAAGTCTTACATAAAAGCTTTGTAGTAGCTGGAATTTGACTTGCTTTATATACATGACATGAATTACGTTCCTCACAGACCTACTTTGCTCAGCCTGATGAAGGGAAATGGTTTGTGCATTTCTAAATCCAAGTTTTGTTGTCTTGATCTGTCTGATCTCAGAAAAGAAATTCTTTCTTTTTTGTATCTCTCATAGACATCACTTCTTTCAAAGTGATACACATACTTCTCTTTAAGTGCTTCAGCATTGCAAAAGATTCCCATGTATTACCACACTAGTAATTAAAAATAACCTTGAAGGAAGAGAACAAGTACAAACAAAATTAATCATTAAAGTAGTATGGAGTTAAAAGAAGTTCTGCACCAATCTCCCTGACTATTATTTGTATATCATAATGTTTAGCACTTTTTTAAAATCTCAAAGGCTGCAGCAAACAGTAGGTGTCATTTCTTCTATTAAAATGGTCCATTTTTCATTTTATTTCTTGCTGTCTACACCATCCTAAAACCTCAGGAACTGCTGCACTCTTATCTTCCATAATAAGGCAAGCCTAATGTTCATAACTACTCCTGGAAGGGAAAGTCTTTCATCATCTTTGCCAGATTTTTTGTTTGTTTTGTTTTGTTTTGTTTTGTTTGTACATGAAATGCAACATTAAGAACAGTTCGCTACATGCCAGGAGCAAACAGGATCTCAACAATTACGTGTCAAGAAGAACTGTCCTATGGGACAAATGACAGAGAGAAGGTGGAGAAGGTGGAGCTGAAAGCCCTGAACAATTCAGACTTACATCCCTGTTGCAGACCCAGAAAAGCTTCTGATCTGGATTGCCCAACTTTCACTCCTGCTTTTACGTTGTGTGTCGTGAAAAGCAGACACAACCAGGCACTCATGACATGGGCCAATGTGTTACTTCAAAGAATGTTACAGGTAACTAAAGATCCACCTTTAGGGATTATATTTTATCAGTCATCTTTTCCAAGAAGAATATTTGCATATCAGTTGTTTTAATCCAGTCTGAGGAGCAAGGACCAAAATAACTGATGCAAAATAACTACCAAACTATGGGATTATGAAGTAGACCACCCAAACAGCCTTATGCTACTCCACTCATGCCATTTGTCCTCTAATCTTTACAGTCTCTAATCTCACTTTTTATTACAACTCCCAAATCCCTCTTCCACAGAACTCTTAATCGTGTGCTTAAATTTAAGCATATGCACAGACATCGTGCTGAATCAGGTCCTTGAGTTCACTCTGCGCTCAGGAGAAATGCTGCTGTCTTTGGTGTTTAATAAACCACAAGTATACATGTTGGCAGTGTGCTAAGAGAAAAGGAGACTTTCCTCCTAGCCTAAGGCTGAAATTCAGTGCAAAATCACACCTAAAGGAACGGAATGAGCGTACATCCACTCTGTCTAGTAACAGAAGCATCAAAACAAACACACAAACTGGAAGCTATTTCTCAAACATTACTGGAGCCTTTGGGTACAGCACTGTCAACTTCTCCTGCTTTCAGAGAGCAGCACACTCTCTTGGGTTCCAGATTAGTCAGAAAGCATGCTATGACAGCTCTTACAGAGGCAGGTATTTTTTAAAACTCTGCTATTATAAACCAACTTTCCTGGAGTGACGCACAAGATATGGGTTACTGTGCTTCTCCAAACGACGGGAGGTGCCGAGGACTGGAAAGGTGCTCTATTAAATCCTCAAACGGAAGGAAGCCAATTATCCCTTCAAAGCACTCCTGACACTCCTGTACTCACTGTAAAAGAGCCAGCTTTTAAACTCCTCTGCACAGAACAAATTGCTGTGCAAGAGAAGCCAGGGAGATCCACAGATTAATGTGAACCACACGACAAAATGCAGCAAAAGTCCTCAGCAACCAACAAAGTCATTTCACAGCAAATTATGTAATCAGAGGGATATATTTAACAGCTATTGCATCATAGCAAAAAATATCAACACAGTATCATGTACTTGTATACCTTGTACCTCCTTTTTACTTTCTGTCTCTCATCTTTGCTTGCAGATGACGCCTATATGGATCTTATATCACCACAATGTATTTTCGTCTAACATCCATCAGACAGCCCTGTTCTTGGCCCATACTTGGAAAGACAGTCACACATGTTACTGTCATTAAGTCAACCTTACCTTAATTGTAACAGACAATTATGCTAATAGGGCAGAAGTTAATAGTGCTACATCATATTAAGTAGACCTCAGATCGTTTCTGCTATGCAGTAAGGTCGGTCCTGTTCTTAAGCTACAGTATTCATTGCCATGAGTCACATTCTCCCTGCACCTTGGGTAACCGTTTTGAATACGAGCTATGTTCCCACCATGAGAGTATTTCCTGCTTGAACCTCTGAAGATATATTATTTTAGCAAGGCTCACGTTGAGGCACACTATAAAAGTCTACCACAAAAATGCAGCATAAGCCAATTGATAGTCAGATCAGCTGCAAAGAGATGCTAATCAAACTAGAGAAATGCAGAAGTCGTTTTAACTCGGGATACTTTGGAAATGCAGGAAAACAATGTCCAACGTTTGCTAATAAAAATTTTATGCAGACTATCCAGTTTAACATCTGTGCCTTTCAAACAGTTTAGGTTGAATAACACAATTATTACTCACTATTATCATCAACATTAACACACATGTCTACTCCAGAGCAGCCTAGAGATGTCATGTAGCACAGTAAGGCACAGAGTTTGCTTTCAGTTAGTTCACATTTAGTTTTCACTCTTGTCAATTTACTGTCTGAAAATATTCAGTGAAATCTCTCCAATTCTTAAATATTTAAATTTGAATTGGTGACACCTGTAGTAGGCTTAAGAAAAGCAGGTACTTGTACAGAAACAATGAAGATCGAGAGCACCTACATTCTGGAAAGGGAAGTCCCAGCATGGGCAGACGGAGTGGGAGAACGTGTTTTGTTCCTTCAGTAATACAATACACAGCAATATTGTAAACTAAGTCAAGCTTCCATTTCACTGGCTTTTCCTTTCTTCCTCAAACCAAAGGAGCAAGAAACAAATGGATGTGCATTTTGAAGGAAAGTTACAGACATACTGAGATGAAGCTAAGGGTCATCAGGAGGGAAAAATGTAAAAAAGAATAAATTACAGTGGTTTACAAACAGCTGAACTAGGGACAGATGTAGACACTATTGTTTCAAGAGTTACCTCTCTGTCCAGATGAGTCTAGTCATGTAGAAGCTCGACTCCCTTACAAATTCCAGCAATTTTTGTCAATGCTGAGCAATAGGAACCAATGTAGGCATTTGCAAGCAACCTTTGATCTCTTCAGACAAAGGCAACAATATGTGATATTCCCCAGCAGCTCCTACCTGCAGCAGATGGGAAGACTGCCTCGTTACCCCGACGTGCCAGCAAAGGCCACACAGACAACGCTTCTTGAGCACGTGCTAGGCGCTTCTCTAGGAACTAAGCTGACCTAAAAAGACGAACCACTTCTAAGCTCTGAAAGAAAACACCTAAGATTTGAGATCCCTAACAATGAAAGTCAAAGCAAAAACCGGAATGCACTTGTGGTACAACACAATACAATGTTGTTTGAAGTGGGAATAAGCTCCAGATCAAACCTACACACAGAGATCACCAGGTTACAGGGCAGGTTCTCCTGTCAGAGGGAACAAGCCGCTATCTGTGTCAGATCTGTGGAAGCGCTTTGTTTGCTACTATTAGAAATGTGTTTTTTTCCTCTAGAAACAGATGTTAAAATGGTTCCTAGAACCAGATAACAGTGCCAAAATAAAAGCAAGCTGAAGCAATGTAGCGGTTTTATGCTGCTTTCTGCTGCCTATGTTTTTTAGGCTTTTCTTTGCCTACCCTGAATAGACTTGACAGAATTCCTTTATACCAATGCCTCAGCAG